CCAGCTGAGCCCTGCACAGGGCTCTGGGTCTCCAGGGCAGGTGCCACCTTCGCCTGAACAGGCTGTGTCAGAGGAGGGTCTGGCCGTACTTGAGCTGTGAGAGATGCTCTCAGAGATCCAGCATCCTGAAAACCCAGGTGCTGAAGGTTCCTCCTCCACCGTCCTGCGGGGAAGGGTGTCTTACCCTGCTTCCCCTCAACCCGAGCTGACTTTTGTCTGTTCTGTACACCTAGTTTTTCAGAGCAGTTATTGTTAATCATCTAGCCGACAAACACCATAAGGTGACAGCCTGGGAGGGTAGATGGGGCTGGAAGGTAGTTTCCTGAATAACAGCGTTCAGTTTCCTGTTTTGTCATCATTTGACCCAAGGCCCCCAGATAATTGAAATGTTGTCAGCAAAACTCCCATTTTATATCTGAGGTCCCCCCCCCCCACTTTTTAAGGAATGGGTGTAAACTTCTAACCAGGGACCTGACAAAAAAGAAGGATTTCCTTGCAAAGTGAAGGTCGGGGATGGTTGGCATTTGCCATCTGTGACTAGCAGGGACCCAGGCTGCTTCCCTCCTGCCGCCTGACTCCTGACCCTCCAGCTCCTGCCCCTGTTCCCACCAGGAAGAAGAGGAGCGGGAAGGTGCCTTTTCCCCTTTAAGGGAACGAGGTGAGAGTTGCACCTGCCAGTTTGCTAGTCCCTGGGGTGATTCTCCAGCATGGGTGGGAGTTGCGTTTTGAGGCCTGAGCCCCGTGAAGCTGGGGTTGCTTTTCCCTGAGCAGCAGGAAACCGGACTCTGGGAAGTGGGGTCAGAAGGTAGCATCCGCAGGAGGGGCGTCTCGTCCCATTTGACATCTACACTGCAAAAGGGGGTGTGGGCTTCATGGTCCATTGACAAATAGAATGTTATTTTTGTGGTGATTTTTAAGCACATCTAATCCTAATTCCTTTGGCCTTTACTAAAGTGACATTTTGTAATTCCACATGATTTCATTGATATATTCGTAGGAGAGAATGCTTCCTGTAAACCAGAAGGATCTCTGAGACGGTTCTCGGCCCATAGAGAGTTCATTTTCCCAAGGTTAAAGACACAGCCTCAGGCGGGGTTGAGGACACACTGCGGCAGCCTCAGGAAGTCCTAGACATGTGCCCAAGGTGTTTGGGGCACAACTTGGTCTTACACATTTTAGGGAGACGTGAGACGTCAATATATGTGAGATGTATGTTGGTTCGGTCCAGGAAGGGAGGGACGGCTCGAAGCGGGGTGGGGTTTCCAGGTCACAGGTAGATCAGACAAAAGCGTTTCTGGTGCACCATTCCAGAGGAAGCAGTCAGATCCGCATTTTTCTCCGTGTGCAGATGGTGACTTTGAATTCTCTCCTCTGTCCATGAGGAATTTCCTTGTGGATCGGTTGTGAGGGAGGTACGTGACTTTTTTATCCCCTCCCCCCAGTAGCTGTCTCTGTTCGAAAGAGCATGGGAGGCAGGTTTGCTCTAAGCTCTTCCTCACCCTGACGTCCCTTTAGCTTAGTGATTTTGGGGTCTTGAGATGTATTTTCAACTTCATGTTTCTGAACACACTGGCACTCGGAACAGTATTGTAGGAGGCATCTAACTTACTTAGAAGAAGAATCTATTTGGAAGGACTTGAGCACATTCGTCCTTGACAGAACCAAGCCTTTGTTTAGTTTGCTTTGCCCCGTGGCTGTTAAGCTGTCCCAGGCTGTGCGGCCTTAGAAAGCTGTGCCCCTCTGACCTCCTGCCTGTGGAATCTGGTGACTTTGAAGTTAATCCAGCAGCTACATGTTTCGGAAAGCAGATTGCCTCTTAAAGTGCTGGTGATTATGATTCTAGCACTAGAATTTCAGTGTGTATTTTCCACCCTTCTTACTTTGTCTCCTCATACCCTGAGATGCTGCTGCATTTGCCCTTAGGCTTCATTGAGGGGGAGGGTCAGTTCTGACCCTTTCTTAGATATTGACCTTGAACGGACAGAATCGAGATTCAGAAAACCCCTCGAGCTGTGAGAGTTGCTGATATCTATGTAAGTGGGGTTCATGTGTCAAACTCAGGTTTAAGAAAAACCAATTCTAGGTTGGGCATAGTGGCTCACACCTGTCATCCCAGCACCTTGGGAGGCTGAGGTGGGCAGTTCACTTTTGAGCCCAGGAATTCGAGACCAGCCTGGGCAACATAGCAAGACCCTGACTCTACAAAAAATTAAATAGGAGTGATGATGTATACCTGTGGGCCCAGCTACTCGGGAAGCTGAGGAAGGACGATCACCCAAGCCTGGCAGGTTAAGGTTGCAGTGAACCATGATAGCACCACTGTACTTATGGTGCACTGTGCCTGAGTGACAATAGAACAACCACCCCCCCCACACACAAAATATCAATTCATGCAGTGGCCAGTTCTGCTGGGACCACCTATTAAGGCTACTCTGGGCCACACGGTTTGAGAAGGTTCTGTCTAGGGTCGAGAGGGAGTAGCTTGAGGGCCTAGAAGCCAGTTCTTGTGGTTCAGTGTGACTGCGGGTGTGGAGTTGGGGGCAGGGATCTCCACGGCATGAGTGGGTAAACGGATGGGCTTCTAGGATGAGCTCCTGTGACTTTGCCTGGTTTACATCTGTCCAATACAAATCCACAGGCTCTTACTCTAGAAGCTTCTGCCGGGGCTGATGGACTGGCCTGGGGGCAGAGAGTGCCCTCAGAGCCTCAGGGTGCCCTCTGGTTTAGGAAGAGCACTTAGTCACCTAGATCTAGGATTTATGGCACTACAGGGAACTCACACTTGGAGCAGCAGCCATCTGCATTCTAGACTTAGTTCTAGGCAAAGTATTTTGGAGCCTGTTGGTACCCTGTGTTCTGTTTATGTGTAAAACAAGTTAGAGTTATAACTAGTTAAAACCTATTTTTAAAATTTTGCCACAGAATATGGCAGTTGTGGTGGAGCCTGGTCAGAGAACCCCACACTAGGACGCTGCTGCGTGCTGGGGTTCCAGGCGTGGCCTGCATCGGCTGCCCCTCCCGGCGTGTCTGTGTTCGCTACACGGGCGCCCATCGAGGCTTGGCCTGTGGGACTCGTGCAGCCGTTTGTCTCCGTGTTCCTCTGAGGTTCCGCAGACTTCACGGTCCCGTGGCAGAGCGTGCGGTATCTGCTTGCATCCTGATTTCCCCAAACCCCAGGACAGGCCAAGAGTTCCTTACACACAACTGCAGAGGGCCCCGTCGTGTGGATTTGCGGGTGACACAGCCTTTCCCCAGCTTGGCCTTCGTCTCCAGAGTTGGCTTTAGGGCGATAGAAGCTTCCTTCAGACTGGGGGGCCCTGAAGCTTTGGTGCTGGGAATTCGGTGACCAGCATGGATGATACCCCGTTTCTCTGTATTTTTAGCAATAGTTGTTAACATGACCACAAGATGTACAGAGGAAGGAAAAAGGAGGTTTTATTTTCAGAGTAACACTCTGTGCTTTGGGAAATGTGGTCTCCGGGGAGCTGTAAGCACGCACCCCTCAGGAAGGGAGGAGGCCGCGGCACTACACATTCCGGGGTTTGTTGGCTGTGTGTGTTCATCGGGCTCATGGAATGTCTGAAAGTTTACAAGGAAAGTGGGGTTTGCTCATTCGGTTCGTGCAATGTCTGAACACTTACAGGGAAAGTCTAGCACACATGCAGTGAGTTAACCTGTAACATCCATGTTCGCCTTGGGGCGAGCGTAACATTTGAAATGATGTGGACTGGGCGTGTCATGTACAAAGGTGAGCTGTTGGGCGCAGACGTTTATGCGCAGCCTCAGTCACAGCCAGGACTGGCTCAGGGTCTGCAGGTTGTGGCGGGAAAGGACACGAGGCCATTCTGTCCAGTCGGAGCTGCCGGCAGGATCCCAGGGTGGGGCTGTCTGGTCGGCCGGCGTCTGGAGTCCACCCAGCTCCCGTGGGCAGCGTTCCTCTAAAGCAGGCTTCTGATTGTGGAGGAGACTTCATGCTGGTTAACAAACTGTACAGGAGCAGTGCTGTGGGGCTTTGGGGTCGACCTTCCCTATGATGCTGGTTACATTTTTCTCCGGACCTCCTCATAGACACAGAGATTGTACCTCGTCTGGCAGCAGGGGGTGCCATGTTGATATAGTAATTTATTGTATTAACCTTGTTGTTACTATTTTAATAACTCTTTTTTTCTTTTTAAAGAGATAGGGTATTGCTGTGTTATTCAAGCCAGTCTTGAACTCCTAGTCTCAAGCAATCCTCCCACCTCGGCTTCCCAAAGTGCTGGGCTTACAGACGTGAGCCAGTGTGCCCAGCCTACAGCCATGTTTTTAAAACTCAGCAGTTTAAAAATCCTACTCCTTTCATCCTCTCAAGCAGTCTGATTGGCCTTGTGCAAACTGGGGTGTCACGATCTTGGCACCATTTTTCTTTTTCCCTTTGGCCTCAAGTTCTGATGAGAACAGCAGTTCCAAAATGGGCCGTAGGTGATTCTTCCATTACTAAAGCCAGAATTCTTACCAGTTAGAGATGTTTGTCCCTAGGGTCCCAGAAAGCTCTTTTGAATCAAGCCCGTAGCAAATAAGTAAGGAACTAAATTCTTGGTCCTCTGTTTAGTACCTGGGGAATGGGTTAGTTGCTGATACCCTTTGATCTGTGCTCACATGCTACATCTCGTCACGGGAAGCAGAGTCATCCTGTGGAATAAAGCCCAGTTCACGGTGGCACGTGGAGACACTCTGGGCTGTCAGGCCCTTATACAACGGCAGACTTGGAGACTCAACATTGCATGCAGAGCCCGGGCAACCGGAGTGCATCCACCTTAGAGACCACAAGGCCGGTCGGCAAGGTGGACGTCCAAGCATATGGCGCTGACAGGCCCGCTGCGAGGTGAATTAGGAATTCGTTAGCAAAGAAATCAAACTCGCCTGTGGGTACCAGTTGCTTGGAAGGCTGAGGTGGGAGGATTGCTTGAGCCAGAAGGTCAAGGCTGCAATGAGCCGTGATTGTAATACTGCACTCTGGCCTGGGTGACACAGGAGACTCCGACTCAAAAAAAAAAAAAACAAAAAAAAAACCCAAACCTTACTCTTCATAGCAGGAAGGAGAATTTATCAAAGTAACTGCAACAAAATCTTAGATGATATAATTTCAGTGGCTAAGTGAGCTGTCCAGCCCATGTGGCTGGCTCACAACGCAACAGAGCCAGGTGCTGCTGCAGCTGCCGTCCCACCCGATCGCTTGTGGACATTTTCTGTTTTCCCATATCTCCCTTTTGGATACGTAGCTCGCTACTTTATAGCTAAGCATCAGTAAAACAGGTTGTCTATTTTGAAAAGTAACTATTAAGTCTTTTAAGGACAGAAAACGAAGCAGGTGACAATAGCATGGCGACCTGGTGAATAGATTTGGAGGCATATTTAATACTTGGCACTGCTCTGATCCCTTCTTCTCTCATGCTTAGTTACAACTGCCGCCTCCTAGGACAGAACACTTTCAGCTCTGTGAGTAGGAATTAAATATGTTCTAAATCAGAAGTTTTAGTTAAGCAGTATTTTATGTGAATGCCCAGATCCTAAGTGCTCACTGTACTGGTGTGTGGTGTCGAAGAAGAAACCAGGGCTTGGGGCCGGGTCTATGGTGCAGTGTCCGCATTCCCATATGTGAGATGAGGGCCATAACACACGGCCTAAAAGGTTCAGACTGTGAGATTGAATGGATCTGCCCATTCCTAGGAAGCCTCGAGTCTAACTCGACTTGGGCTGGTTTTAGGGAGATGCTGGCAGCGCTGTTCTCACAGGGCACTGGGAGGGGCTCTGGCACCGTCCCTGTCAGGTGTCTCATGATCAGCCCAGCTTGCTCATCTCAGAAGCTGCTGGTCGTGTTCTCGTTCCTGTTGTTTGCTGCGTGTTATTTCAGTTCTGTCCATGTGGGGACCTAGGAAGTTCCACAGTGAGAGGAGAGCCGCTGAGCCACCTTCCTGCCTGGACACCAGCCCCACGGAGGACCGTAACTGCTTGAGGTTGGCTTCTGCCCCCGGCCTCACCTGTGGAGGCATTGATGCAGTGGTACTTTCTAAGCTCCTGGGGCACACAGTGCTGTTGTGTGGATCCACAGGTCACTGTGGTGTCCAAGCACGTGCTCCCGGAGGAGGGGACTCTGCGGGCACTGATAGTGGGAGCTGGCTGAGAGTCCAGTGAGTGAGACTCCCTGTGATGTGTACAGCTGCCATCTGCGCAGCCCCTCCTGACGCCAAGATGGTCGTGTGATAAATGCACAAAGCGCATCTCCAGCAAAAAGCCGCCGAGTGTCCACATCCAGGATATCCACGACGGCGGCTTTTTGGTGTTAATACGATGAATGTGAGTAGCAGGTGGTCTGCGTTCTGGGTGAGTGTGACTGTGCCACTGCAGTTTTGTTCTCATGTCTTGATGAGCATGAACGATTCCTGACGAGGGTAGGTAAGGATGCTATGATCTGAGACTCTGCAGTATTGTAGCTTGAGGAACCAAGGAGTTTTTCTCTCTTGCAAACTCATGAGGGAGGATGTTCCAGGCTGGTGACTGCTCCATGAGGTATTCAGGGATCCAGGTTCCTTTCAGACCCCTGCTCTGCGTTCCCAAGAACACGACTGTCCTTGCTGTGGTTGGGACTGGGTGATTGCCACGGTGGTGGTGGGAGGCTTAAGGTGAGATTGGCCATGATTTACCTAATCTGCATAATGACAGGGAGCCTGGGAGTGAAGTGCAGCCATGCCCCAGAGGATGGATGATGGATGTTGGTGAATGCCTGGCCCACCAGTCACCGTAGCTGGCCCACGGATGGGAAGGATGACTGATTATGCCATTCCATGGTACCTGATTCTTTCAGATTTGACTTCCTTATGGATTTTCTGCTGTAAAGAGGAGAGAGCCTGTGGTTCTAGGCCAAGCGTCTCACTCATCTCATAACATCTTGTATCCCTTAGCCAACATTTTTGTCAAGTTTTAGAAGTCCTATCAAACTGGCAAGCATTTCTCAATTTGGTTTAACCATTGGATTCTATATCTGTGTCTGCATGTCTATTTTACATCTATGTGGTTATTTGACACTCTGTAGTACCTTTGTAATAGGTTCTGTTTGGTGGAAGTTACTTTCAACAAACCCTTGCTGCTACTTGAATTTTCAAGGTTGCAAGTAGAAAGGAGAGAATAAAAACCACGTCTTCTCTAATTTTAAAATGTGTTGTTCCTCAAATCACACCAGAAGTACAAATATTACAAATTACAAAAGCAGTCAGAATCAAGGTTAAGGGATTTCTGAGTGATTCTGGCTAATCAGCAGTATTTGCTGAGGTGTGTGCAGCAGAGCAACACGCCAAGAAGCCCAGGACGGGGGAGAGTTGGGAGGCCAGACTGTGACTTCAGAGGCGCTGTTGCCTCAGAGAGAGGAGCTAGATGCAGAGAGGATAAATGGCCACAGGTGTGACCACCGCCATCCTTTCCGCGGTACTGGGGCCTTTGTGAACTGAGTCATGAACCAGATGAAGGCTGTGCAGGCGTGTGAGAATCCAGGCCAGACTCGATGGGTGGAGGCTTGGCAGAGGTGAGGAGCTAGTGAGACACCCCCCACAAGGTGGGGACTAATAGCCACCCCTTCTCCTTCCGCTGGCTATTAGGGGCCATGGTGGACTCACAGCCTGTTTATGATATTGTGAGTAATATCATCTCCTCCTCTGGAAATTATGAACTGTTTCACAGATGGGTGTATACCCTCAGTGTGTACACTATCAGAGGGTGTATACCCATCCGTATTGGGAGTAATATCATCCTCTTCCTCCCTGAATGTTAAGAAGAATATCCCAGGATTGTTTCTACTCCCTGAATTATTGGGTGTCATATCCTCCTCTCCCACATGGAAATTAGAAACAATATCACTGGGGCGTGTACACCTTCTGTAATATTTAAAGTAATATCATCCCCTTCCCTCCAGGATCATGGGAACAATATCCCTGGGGGGGTGTACAGTTTCTGCCATATATGCAATATCATCCCTCCCGCCTTGAAACATTATGAAAGACCATCTCATATGGGGTGTGCAACCCTTGGTGCGATACTGGGAATGCAATTATCCTCTTTCCCCCTTGCATATTTGGAAAAATATCAGAGTGAGTGTACCCCTCCTGCCGTATGAGGATTACTATGCTCTTCTTCCTGATACTAGAAAGAATATCACACGTGGGTTTGCACTTTCTTCGATATCTGGAGTCATGTCATCCTCTCTCGTTTTGAATGGCAAGAACAATCCCTTGGGGGGAATGTACACACCCTGCCATATTGGGAGTAATATTACGCTCTCCCCCCTTTGATAATTAGGAACAAAATCCCATGCTCTCTATCCCTGGATATTAAGAACAACATCACAGGTAGGTGTACACCCCCTGCGGTATTAGGAGTAATAATATGATCAATTATTAAACATCCATGATCGATATTAACAATTATCAATGATATTATTAATAGGATACTGTTATTATGGATAATTATTTTAAATATATGATTATACATGCTTAAAATTAAGTGTTAATATTGTTATTTTATTACCAGCATCACTTAGTATTGATTTAAGTAACATTAATTGCTGATATTATTTTATTATTAATAGTGATATTACTATCGATTTAATGCTAATCGTTAACATTTTTAGTATTTTACTGTCTTTATTGTAATTATTAATATCGATGATTACTCTTAATTTTTCTCATGTTTATTAATATTAATAATTAATAGACTTGTTCCTGATATCCGGCGGGGAGAGGATATTACTCCCAATATTGAAGAAAGTGTACACCCCTCTATGATGTTATTCCTAACAGGCAGGGGGTAGAGGATGTCATTATTGAAACTATGGCAGTGGGTGTACATCCGTTCAGTCGTCTTGTTCCTTATATCCTGGGTGGGAGAGGATGATACGACTCGCAATGTAGCAGGGGGTGTACATCCTCCTGTGATATTGTTTCCTATATGCAGGGGGAGAGGATGATATTACTCCCAATATCGCAGGGGTTGTACACACCTCCTGCGACATTGTTCCTAATATCCCGAAGGCAAGAGCATATTACTCTCAATATGGCAGGAGGTGTACACCTCCTTTGTAGTATTGTTCTTAATATGCATGATGGGAGGGGATGATATGACTCCCAATATCACAAGAAGTGTACGGCCGCCTGTGATAGAGTTCCTAACATCTAAGTGGGGAGAGGATGATATTACTGCCCATATCACACGAGTTGTAAAATCCCTTCGATATTTTGCCTACAATCCTGAGGGGAGAGGATATTATTCCCGATAGCAAAGAAGGTATACACCCCCCTGTGACACTATGCTCAATATCCACATTGGGAGACGATGACATTATGTCCAATATCACAGGGGATCTACACCCACCCTGGGATATTGTTCCTTATATCGAGAGGGGGAGAAGATGCTATTGCTCCCAGTAACACAGGGGCTGCGGCTGTGCACCCCTCCTGTGAAATTGTTCTTAATATCCTAGGGAAGAGAGGATGATACTACACCCAATATCTCATGGGCTGTATAGTGTCCGCTCAGAGATGTGTGGGGCTCTCTTACACCAGTAATTCCTTCTCTAACTTTAGCCACATACTGGTCATCCAGGGGCCTCCTAAAATCCAGGAGCATAAAAACAAGTGGAATTTCTGAGAAGCAAAGATGACGCACGGCTCTGGTTGGGCTGCCACAGGCACTTTTGTGAAAAAACAGAGATGTATTTCCCACAGTTCTGTAGTCTGGAGGTCTAAGGTCAAGGTGAGTTCAGGGCTGGCTCCTCCTAAGGCCTCTCTCCTTGACTTTCAGATGGCATCTTCTCTTGTGTCCTCGTGCGGTTGTCACTCTATAGATGTCTGTGTCCTGATCTCTTCTTACAAGGGCATCAGTCCTAATGACTTCGTTACCTTAATCACCTCTTTAAAAGGCCTATCTCCACATACAGACGCATTCTGAGGTCCTGGGTTAAGACTACAACCTGGGAATCTTGGGGTATGCAATGAAACCTGAAGCAGATGGGGTCTTATAACCTCTGTCATCCAAGCTCATGCCAGAGCCCCATGAGGGAGCCCCAGGTCCCCCCTTTGATACGGTTTAGCTGTGTCCCGACCAAAATCCCGTCTTAAATTCTCATGTGTTGTGGGAGGATGGAAGTGATAATTTAACAGCAGAGAAGACAATTGCCGCCAGGGAGGGGAGAGGGGACCCCAGGCCTCCGAAGGTGGGAGGGTCTCGGGCCCCGGGCCCTGGGCAGAGCAGGCAGCCCCACCCGTGTGACACCCCTGATGACCGCTCAGTAGTTGGAAAAGGTGGAATCGTATGCAGAGGCTGGTTGGGGAGATAGGAAGTTGTTGAATGAGTTTTTAAATATTTCCATCAAAATTCTTACTGCACCCTTGGTGTTGATGGGGACTAGTGGCTTCACCATGTGCCTGGCTTCTTCCTGGCTCTGACTCTGGAGGCCTGGCCTGGCCTAGGGCTGCTGGCTAGATTCATTGCTGGCAGCAGGTAGAAGGTGGAGGAGGGAGAGGAGCTGTCCTCATTCCTCTCTTACTCATGCCTGTTCACGTTAGCAGCCCCTCTCCAGGCATCCCTTGCCCATGATCTGGGGACTGCTATTCTCACTTCCCTTGGGCCCTGCCCACCGATCTCCAAAGAATCCCATCAGTGACTCCTTTTAATCACCTCTTTGCCCGTGACAAAGTCTTCTGGGGCTTCCTGACTGATCTAAGGAGAAGCCTGGCTATCTGTGCAACTTGTGGAAGTGAAGTGAGTCATTCACACTGGCATGTATCTACAAGTCACACAGCTTTGCAACTGGAGTGACTTTAAGCTCATCGAACCAAACCTTCCATGACAGATGAGGACACCCAGAATCATAGGATAGAAGTGACTTGCTCCCATCTGGGTCGGCCAAGCTGAGACTCAAGCGTAGAGTCTAGCAAAGCACACTTCGTCCTCCCTTAGAAGAAAGATCCTGCTCGCACGGCTCACCTCCACCTACCCTAGGTCTCCCCCATCCTCCCTTAGAGGGAAGCTCCTGCCAGCATGGCTCACCTCCACCTACCCTAGGTCTCCCCCATCCTCCCTTAGAGGGAAGCTCCTGCCAGCATGGCTCACCTCCGCCTACCCTAGGTCTTCCCCACCCTCCCTTAGAGGGAAGGTCCTGCCAGCATGGCTCACCTCCACCTACTCTGGGTTTCCCGCACCCTCCCTTAGAAGGAAGGTCTTAGAAGGCAGCACATTCACCTTCACCTACCCTAGGTATCCCTCATCCTCAGAAGGGAGTCTTCGGGTCAGTCACAAGACTACTCCGGACATCTGTAAGAACAAATAGTTTCCAGCACAGTCCTTTCCTGGGGTCTGCCTTTTCCCTCTGGGATGCTTGGAAGTTGAAGGGGTCAGGCAATTCAAGTTCTCCCCGGTATCTCAGGGGCCACTGACACAAGAAAATGTGCTGCTCTGCTCGCTGTTTGACTTTGATGGATGCAAATTTGTTCTAAATGAGCCTGACATTCATTAGCATGTAAACATATGTTAGTGGTGGCGGCTCGCAGGGCCACATGCTGATGGATCTCGTGGGCTGTCCCCGCCGGACACCACCAGGCTGCCTGGGTCTTTGCTGCTTCTGGATAAGGCTCCAGATGTTGTTTTTCTTGCACTATGAAGTAGGCATTTTAGCTACAGGGATATATATGTATGTGTGTGTGTGTATGTGTGTGTGTGTGTGTATATATATATTGCACAAAAGAAACACAGACAAATCTGTGAAATAGAACTTGAGTTTATGCGCCCATCTACTGGATGGAGCCTCTTAGAATGTCAGCTGCTCAGTGTGTGCTTTGACTCC